GAGGCCGGCCGCCGCACCAGCACGGGGCGGGAGAACGCCCCGAGCAGGGGAAGATGAGATCACCGCACCCCGCGGCCCCGTTTGGATCCCAGCCCGGGGTCCACTCAGCTTTCCACGCACATTTCAGGCACAGACGACCCATGAGCACCACCCCTGGCCGGGCGTGCGCGGGCACCTGCAGACAATGATGATATAGACAGACAGACAGACAGACAGACAGACAGACAGATAGATAGATAGATAGGTAGATAGATAGATAGATGTATATATGTGTGCGTCTGAGGCCCAACCACTTGAGCCGTAGCCCTGCTTTCCGCTTTTCCGGTCCCGGGGCTTGAACTCGGGGCCGGGTGCTGTCCCTGAGCTTTTTCACTCGTGGCTCTCTCATTAGAGCCACAGTTCCACTTCCGGTTTTCTGGTGGTTCCATGGAGATAAGAGTCTCACAGACTTTCCTTCCCGGGCTGACTTTGAACCTTGATCCTCAGATCCCAGGTTCCTGAGTAGCTAGGATGACAGGCGTGAGCCACCAGCACCCGGCTACTTCCAGCTTTTTGCTGGCCCATTGGAGATAGAGTCTGGCAGGCTTTCCTTCCCTGGGCTGGCCTTGAACCTCGATCCTCAGATCTCAGCCTCCTGAGTAGCTAGGATGGCAGGCGTGGTCTGGGCTCCTGCAGCACAGTTAGGCTGCTTCTGGGGGGGGGTTCATTCACAGGTTCACAGTAGACCCTCCCCTCTCCCAAGCCTGCTTCTTATGCAGAGCTGGGCCTGGTACCCCCCCCTATGGGGAAGGAGGGCTGCGTTGAGGGGTACCCGGGAGTGGCTGGATCTCCATCTGTCTCTGCCTTTTCCTTTCCAGAACTGGGGAGCCTGATGAAGAGGAGGGAACTTTCCGGAGCTCCATCCGTCGTGAGTTTGGGGAGACTGTGGGTGTTTGAGGGTGAAAGCTGATTCTCAGAACCTTTTCCTGGCTCTCCCTGGAGGAGGGAGGGGGGCAGGAAAGTTGCCCCCAGCCCTCTGCCTGGAAGTGGGGGGTGGGGGGCAGGAAGAGAGGCCCTGCCCCAGCCCTGCCTCCTCCCCGCACCCCAGGCGCCCCGATTTCCTTCTGACACCCAGGCTGTGCGTTCCCTCCCCTCAGGTCTGTCCACCCGCATGCGGTAGAGAATCCTGAAGCCACGGAGCCCAGAGCAATCCTGCAGCGCAGCCCGGGCTGGGGGGGTGGGGTGGAGAGGAGGCGGGGAGGGGGCAGGGAGGCAAGGTGGCCAGGCGGGCTGGAAGCCTCCCACCCATCCATCCACCCCACAGGATCTGCACACCTGCCTGCCACCTCCCCCCCCGCCCCAGCCCCAGCAGATGCCCCCATGCCGGCTAGAATTCCAATAAAACGTGCTTTTTCTCTCCAGCCCGTGTGGATCTCAGTCCGTCTGCGTGCCTCGAGCCCCGCAGCCCCCTCCCTGTGGCCCCCACCCTTGGGGAAGGGGCGGGGACGGCGGGGGGCGGGGCGGGGGCGGGGGGGGCTGGCCCGGGGGCAGGATCCCCGGGCTTCCATTGGCTGCAGCCCCTCCCCCTGCCCACACACCAGGGCTCCCCCCACCTTCCCCCCCACCCCCCCACATCGGTCTGCCCTGTCTCCAGCTGCTGCAGCCCTGTCTTCGCGGCTGCCTCCACAGACATCTTCAGCAGCGTCCCCCCCCTCTTTGGCTCTGGCTCGGCATCATGACCCCAACTGAGGTCCCCACCATCGGTGAGTGAGTGTCATCATCTTACGAGAGTGGGTGCGCGAGTGCGCGTGGGGGCGCGGCGTGGGGAAGAGGGGGCTAGGGAACAGGGCGGGAAGGGAAGGAGTCAGGAGGGGATGTGGCTATTCCTGCCATGGGTGGGGACCTCTCTGCTGCATCCCTCGACCCCCCCTCCACTCCCCCTTTGGGGGGGTGTCCCCTACCCCCCCTGCACTTTGATCCAGGTGCGGGACCTATGGGTAGAGAGGGCTGTCCCCGGGAGAAGGGATGCTCGGACAGGTTGCTATGGCAACGGGGGTGGTTGGTCCAGCACCGTGGTGCTAGCAGATAGGAAGGATGCGGGATGGGAGCCCGTGGGGTTTTGCAGTCAGAGAGGTTCTAGAAGATTTCAGGATCCTAAGGTGGGCCAGGGGAAGGGTCCCCACATTTTTAAAAAAAATGTTCCCAGCATCCTAAGCATCCTGGTCTCTTGTGGTTGGTGTTTCCTATAATCCCTGCCAGGCAGGTTGGGAGAAAAGAGAGGCAGAGATGGACGTGGGGTGTGGTGGCAGCCTGGGGTGGGGTGTGAACCACTGCAGTAAAGCTTCCCGGGTGGGAGTGGGGTGCTGGGAGTCCCCTCCCCTTTCCCTTCCCTACCAGGTCCAGTTCCAGATTCCAGTTCTAGCAGGATCAGAGTCCCTCCCTCCCCCTGCCGCCCCCCCATCCCGCCACACAACCATTCCCATTTCACACCCATTAACCCACTTCCACTCCCTCTCCCCGCTGCCCCAGCCCCAGACAGCCGGCTTCCATGGGGGAAGGGCCAAGGCCAGGTCCTCACCCCCTCGCTGCTGCTGCTGCTGCCTGCACTGACCGGCAGCCTCCTGGCAGTGAAGGGGGAACCCCACTTTGCACCCCGATCTCTCCTTCCCTTCCTTTCCCCCCTTCCCCAGCAGGCAGCGGCTGCGGCAGGCAGGCAGGCAGCCTCCGCACGCTCTCCGCAGGGCGGGAAGCAGGGGTGGGGGTGGAGGGGGCTGCGGAGGTTGGAAGCCACCCTAGGGAGAGGGGAGGCGGGGAGGGCGCCGGGGCTGGCGAGGGTCCAGGGCTCTTGCTTTTTCGCAGAGGTGGTGGATGGATGAGGGCAGACGGGCGGAGGTGGGGGTGTAGACGTCTCGACACCCACCCCATTGCCCCAGGCAAGGAAGAGGGGGGACCTCAGGCCTCAGGAAATCCCTGGGGGGGGGTGGAGGGTGGGAAATGGCTGGGCGGGGAGGGGAAAGAAGCCTGTTGTGTCCTGAAGGAATGGGATTCATGAATTATTGAGGAGATGGAAGAGAGGCGCTTTTTTTTTAATTTCCCCTGCAAAGAAAACCAAGAGGGAGAATTTAGGGGTGTAGCGAGAAGAGGGGGTGCTTGAACACACTTGAAATTAGGTCTCTAAGAAAGAACCTGGGTTTGGCTAGAAGCCAGCCAGTTCTGCAGGGAGAGAGGGAGAGGGAGAGAGAGAGACAAGACTGGACCCAAGTCACAAACCTTATAAACAGGACCTGGGCCAGAGTACTGGGGGGCGGGGAGGGGGGGTGAGGAGGGGGAGGGCATCACCTTTCAAGATGCCCCGGTTGCCATGGCACCCCCTCCTTGCTGATGACTTCCTGGCAAGTGGCCAAGAGTGGGGCACATTCCTTCCCTGGCCTCCTTGACTCCTCCTTGGCCCAGCCACACCCCAAAGGATCCAGATTTGTGGCAGCATAGAGAATCTTGGGCACCAAGCCCCAATTCTCAGCCAGGAACCCAAGGGGAATCAGGGACAGGAGCTCACTCTAGGGGTCTTGAGCAAAATGGAGGAGGGTTTGCAGAAGGCCAGAAAGGTGGGGGGGGATTGGGGAGGGGAGTGTGCCCCGTGTTTGTGGCTCCCGCCTGTCATCCTAGTTACTCAGGAGGCTGAGATCTGAGGATCATGGTTCAAAGCCAGCCTGGATAGGGAAGTTCATCAGACTCTGATCTCCAATAAATCCTCAAAAAGCTGGGAGTGGAGCTGTGACTCAAATGGGAGAGTGCAAGCCTTGAGCAAAAATGTTAAGGGACAAGCCCAGGCCCTGAGTTCAAGCCCTAGGACTGGCAAACAGCTCCCCCCACCCACAAGGTAAGTGCTCTACCACTTAAGCCACAGCACCACTTCCAGCTTTTTGGTGACTCATTGGAGATACAAATCTCCCGGACTTTCCTCTCTGGACTGGCTTCTGGCCCTGCTCCTCAACTCTCAGCCTCCCGAGTTGCTAGGATGACAGGCAGAAGCCATGGCACACAGCAATGCTCAAAAATGCGATCAAACTCACTGCTGATATATTTTTTCCTTCTCTCTGTGTCTCTTTCTTCCCTCCCGAAGGTCCGGAGGAGCCTGACCCATTTTACTATGGTAAGTGTTGGTGTTTTGGATAGATGAAGAGGTGGCTGGGTGAGGGGTCATGGCTGAAGTGGGCCATACTGAGTGGCAAAGCTTGTATCAGATGAGGTCATGGAGGGCAGAGTGACCAGGGAGGGGGCGGGGCAGGGGGACGGACCAGATGCCCCACTGAGCCTTAATATAACTCCAACACCACCAGGCTGCTGGATTTGAGCCTTTCTTACTCACTATGTAGCTGTGTGGCCTTGGACAAGTTGCCTCTCTGGTCCCTTCTGTGTTGAAGATCCATACTAATTTCCACTTTGGGGAATTTTCCAGCATGATACCTTATTGTCAACCTCATGGCACTCAAAGCTCAAAGAAGTTACCACGGCTATCCGACCCCAGTTTCCTGTGAAAAACAGCTTTCTACCCCACCATCTTTGCTCAGTCATGCTGTTTCTCCAGTAGGTCAATTTTCTTACCACCTCAGGGCCTTTGCACTTGCTGTCCATCATCTCCTCCCTCCCTCCCCGCCTTCTCCGTAGTAGGTGGAGACTCCATTCTCTTCCTCTGGCTTCAGATCAAATATCGACTGCTTAGTGGCTAGGAGAGGCTCTGCCTGGCTCTCCCCTCCACACTCCAGCCAGCCAGCCATGACTCAGATTTATTTAACATGAGCACCTTGTCACAATATGAAATTCAGCTAGTAGCGGGCAGAAGCCTGGCCCACTGCTGGTGATTACTGAACCCCGGATCTATGCCAAGCCCTGTGGCAGGCACCCCAGCGACCTAGCCCGGAATCCTGCTTTCCTTGACTTGAGACCCAGGGAACAGACTCAGACACTCCAGCAAATGAAATGAGAAGTGTTTCTTTTCTTTTCTTTTTGTCGGTCATGGGGCTTGAACTCGGGGCTTGGGCGTTGTCCCTGGGCTCTTCAGCTCAAGGTGAGCACTCTATTGCTTGAACCACAATGCCACTTCCAGTTTTTTTAGTGGCTTATTGGAGCTAAGAGTCTCTCGGACTTTCCTGCCCAGGCTAGCTTTGAACTATGATCCTCAGATCTCAGCCTCCTGAGTAGCTAGGACTACAGGCGTGAGCCACTGGCACCCGGTAAGAAATATTTCTTATACTGCTAAGCCCGGCACCACTGCCTGTAATCCTAACTACTCAGGAAGCTGAGATCTCAGGGTCTTGGTTCAAAGCCAGATTAAGCAGAAAAGTCTGAGAGACTCTTAGCTCCACTGAACCACCAAGAAAAAAGCCTGAAGTGGGAGCTGTGGCTCAAGTGGTAGAGCGCTAGTCTTGGGTGAAAAAGACTAAGAAACAATGCCAGATCCTAGAGTTCAAGCCTCAGTATTGGCACAAAACAAACACCACCACCACCACCACACAGAATAATCATCATTCTTTGGGGCAAACATTCTAACCAGGACAGCCAGGGAAGACTGGTGAGGGAGGAACTGTGTGGGGATTTAGAAGAAGAACTTTCAGCTTGTGGGAGCAGCAAGTGCAAAGGCCCTGAGACAGGTTGACATCTGGAAAGAATCCAGGAACTGCAGGGTGGCTGTGGGGCAGGGGGCTGCTGGGGAAGGTGGATGAGACGAGGTCTAGGAAGGAAGGAAGGATGGAAGGAAGGGAGAGAAGGAAGGGAGGGAGGGAGGGAAGGAGGCAGGCAGGCTAGATCATTCAGGGCCTCCACGGCCTTGGTGTCCACCTGGCATTCGCAGGCACCAGAGGCGGCTCTGAGGCGAGGCCTGGTGTGGCTCCGATCACGGTGCACAAGCTGCCCGTGACAGACTATGGCCTGGGCCCTCTGAATGAGGACCAAGAGAGAGGCAGCGTGGAGGGCTTTGATTCTACAGAGAAGTAGAATCCAGAAAGAAAACCGAGGCAGGGGAGGGGAGCAGAGGGGGGAGCGAGAGGCCCCGGGGGAGCCCGCCCCCCAGATCCTGGACCTCTCTGGACAAGACTCCAGCAGGCCGCTGTGCAGCTGGGCAGGGTGAGCTGCCCCCGCGGTCACGGCCTGTCCGTCCTGTCCTCTCCCTTCCTAGACTACGCCACCGTGCAGACCGTGGGCATGACCCTGGCCACCGTGATGTTCTTGCTGGGCATCATCATCATCATCAGTGAGTGTCTTTCCCCACTTGCCCACTGCACTCAGGAACATCCATCCACCCATTCATTCGTCCATCCATGCTCTGTCTCTCTTTCTCAACAGGCAAGAAAGTCAAGTGCAGGAAGGCGGACTCCAGGTCTGAGAGGTCTGGAGGAAGTGGGGGAAGGAAAAAGTGGGAGGG